CACCGGGACTGACCTCTCTCACGTAGTACAAGACAGCGCAGCGGAATGCTAGAATACCAATGACTAGCCCAATCAAGGTCGCAATGCAGACCAAACCACAGACGAAGAGGAGGGGATCAGACGCTACATGCGCCAGGTCCAGACCACAGACGAAGAGGAGGGGATCAGACGAAGAAGAGGGGGAAGATGGGAAAGTCTTCAACACCAAGTCTTCGGTACAAGTCCCAGATAATTCCTCGTCAAATGTCTGAAGCCCAATGTCGAGTCTGGATCCAAATGTGGCCAATCCCGCTCTCTCGTATTCTGCTAATGCAGTGAAGTCAGGTAGCGAGAGGGTGAGGGGGAGATGGTGGACTGAGAAGAGGAGGAAGAAAAACTCTCTCTCTCTCTCTCTCTCTCTCTCTCTCTCTCTCTCTCTCTCTCTCATGTGCCAGGTACTAACCTGTGAAGATGGCGCTGTGCTACAGGTACCTCGACGGCGAGCTGGAGCTATGGCGCTGCAGGTAAGTCTCCCTGGCCTCCGCCCAATCTCAATCCCTCTCCAGTGCCACTCTAGCTCCTAATAGCGCCCAGCGCTGAAGACTACTGCTAACGCTACTACTACTACTGCAGCGCTCCTCCAGAGTGCTGCTACCGAATCCTGAAGACTACCTCCTGCCTCCTGAACTGCACGTGAAGTGCCTGGGAAGTCCCTATGAACTACCTGTAGTCTGCAGGGCGGGCCAGTCTTATATAGTGCTCGCCCATCCAGGAGGCTGCTCTTGCCAATGCCAAAACGTGCCAGACCCTGGCGTTGAAGCTCAAACAAAAGTTGTCTTTAAAACAGGCCCAAAATGGCCTGTGCTAAAACCCTGGTCTGGTGCCTAAGTTTCAGGGCAGGTCGATCTTAGGAGGGCCTGAAAATGGCCCTCCGTTTCCGGCTGAAAAGACTCAGGGCCTGGAGGGCCATTTTTAGGCTGAAACGACACAGGGCCTGTAGGCCCTTGTTTTCAGGCTTTCAGGCTGAAACGGCACAGGGCCTGTAGGCCCTTGTTTTCAGGCTTTCAGGCTGAAACAGCACAGGGCCTGTAGGCCCTTGTTTTCAGGCTTTCAGGCGGAAACGACACAGGGCCTGAAAATGGCCCTCGTCTGCAGGCGCAGCATGTAACACACACACACACACACGAGGGCATGTAACACACACACACACACACACACACACACACACACACACACACACACACACGCACGTCCGCGCACGCACACACACAAAAGAAAAAGAAAAAAAAACAGACAAAAGACAGAGAGAAACAGAGAAGTTTGAGTAGGTCCTGGAAGAAGTTGCGAAAGGTATAAATTTACAGAGCTCTAGCCAGAGCACAACCGCAGGAACCGCCCTCCCACGCCTGATTTGCGTGCCGGAGAAAAAAGCTGGAGTTGTGACATTCTTGATACCAGCACTGCTTGTCATTAAACAAATGACGGATGTGGCACGAAGGGAGGTCAACTTTTGTGTCATGCTACATCCGCCAGTCGTCCCTGGCGGATCTGGCACGAAGAACGTATGGGTCAATCCGGGCTATGCATGCTGTCAGACATCTCAAGAATGATTCGTAGAAAGTTTAAGAGGTTTCTTAAGGTAAAAGTTTTTTTTTTGGGCATGGCATTGTTTAGACTCGGCACTTCGAAAACACAGGCCCCAAACTAGTTAGAACTTAGCAGTTACACTTTCTACCGTCTGATTCAGCTAGTCTATTTAATTTTTAGATATGCTATGATGATTTCTATCTCATAGTCAAGGATACTCGTAGTAGGCGCTTAGCGAGGACAAAGGAACAAAAGTGAAAACATGTTTGAAAAACAGCTAATCAAAATTGTTTGATGTCCCATCGTTACCTCTTTGACTGAACCTAGAGAGAAGAAGAAAAACGTAAAAAATCATTTAAAAATGCACATTGAAATAACAGTTAAGTAAAAATTATGTTTTAGTCTGTTATGAACCAACCCACCATGCTGGTCTTCCCCACCAAAAAACCTGTCAGTGAGTAACTGATCCTCACCTGAGTTCAAAAATCGTTTAAAAAAAAAAAGGACTTAATCTCTTATGACCTTTCTGGACCGATTACTGTTGAGGAGAAAATGCAAGAAAACAACTGAAATGATACAGAGACTATAACACACTGCATCACAGTTTGAGAGCTCTGAGGCGCTATTTCTCAGAGAACTTAATATGCCCTTTTTGTTTTCCTGTGCCCTCTGCATAGATTCGATTTTTTGACTTTTGGTTTCGTCGGAACACAGATGGGAAATGTAAGAATGATAAAACCAAATCATAGGCATTCCAACACGGGTAATCTAACAAAGAAGAGATGAAAAGAACGATTACTCACCAGTTGTAACCCGCTTCGTGACATTGGGATCGCCAGCCCCCAGATACGACGTCATCACCACAGGTGAATCACTCAAATACGTCGCCATCTGATTGGACCTGCCTTCTCTCTCTCTCTCTCTCTCTCTCTCTCTCTCTCTCTCTCTCTCTCTCTCTCTCTCTCTCTNCTCTCTCTCTCTCTCTCTCTCTCTCTCTCCCCGTCTGCTTATGCGCAGGCGCAGGCGCGCAGCGCAAAGTACGTCGGATCTGACCGAGGTGAACTGAAGCTCAACTACGAGCAGAGCAACAAGCAAGGGCAAAAGCAAAGCGTGTGAAGCCAAAAAAGCAACGACTCGCTTAGGAGATACGCCGTTGACCACCAACTAGTGGCTGTGCATGTGCAGCATGAGATATGCCGCTGGTATAGAATTTCTAACCCACAAAGGAGAAGAACAGGTACCCGCTAAGAATTGCAATAGGTCACCCGATCATGCCATAATTGAGCTAGACATGTGCGATCTAGTTTGCAATGAATATGACTTCTTAACGAACATCACCTACAACTTCCACGTTAATTTCCAGAATTCGCTAGGAAACACAACAGTCATGCATTAATTAATCCCACGTAAGATTGTCAATTATATAGAGAAAAATTCTGAAAAAGCTCGCCCCAGAGAGGAGACACTTTCCACATTAAAAAAAAGAGAGAAGAAAAAATATGCAGGAGATCATGAAGTCCCGACGAAGGCGGGAGGTCAGCTACCCCCTTTCAATCGAGAGGAATAATATGGGGATTGTGCAACTAGGGATATCACGGACCACTTGATGATCTATTTGTCGGCAAAAAAAAAATTGACAGCAAACACCGCCCTAGTAGTGCAAAAAATTTTGCGGATAAAAATAGACTGAAATAAACAATCGACTGAAATTAACAATAGAGTTCAATAACTTCAATTAATACTCGACCAAAATTAGTAATTGAACAAAACTAATATAATCCCCATCAACCGAAATGAAAATTTTCAATCGATCGAAATTGATGATCTAAATTTTTTTGGGGCGAGATGGGGTAGTAGTGCTTTATTTTTGGTTAGCGAGGGGTATTGAGTTATCTTTGATTGGCGGTATTTAAAATAACAGACTATTAATACTAGTTAAATCTGGTAGAATTCAAGGTCAGTCAGAATATTATTAAACGAAGTTAACGAACTGAAGAATCCAATCTTGAGTCAACAAGTGGTAGGTACTCACTCATACTGTAGGGTTAAATTTCACGCCGACCCCAGTGTCAAACTTAAGCGATCGCTTGAAAATGACTATATGTCACTGAATATTTATATTGAAAGATATAATATAAATGTTCTTCCAAAAAACGTACTATGCGACTCGGAAGAGTCTCTCACTGCCCTCGACCTTTCCGATCTGGAAAGTTATTAATATAATCACATAATAATGAGTATTAATGACTAAAGAAACTCCCTCAGACCGCTCCCTCTAAATCGATGATGAACCCGAGAATTCAATCTTCCAGCGTATCATTGTTTAAAACGACTGTGCCTGAAGGATACCACAGGGAAGATGAGAGGACACAACACTTTGCTCAAACAAAATAGCGACCGGTCCAATAATAGATCGACGCACTTCGGAACGAGCAGTCAATTAATTGGAGTGTCCTTTTAAATGACCAGCCAGTTGGATCCAATCAATCCGTCATCGGACATGATTCAATCTGTCAATGATTTGGATAATCGACCGACAAGCGAGGCAATTGGTCTCTCTCGGTTAATTGGTTAATTCAATCAACCCTTGAATTAGGGTTACGGCCTATGACAACGCCGATGCACACCGAGAGATAAAACAAGAAGAAAAGGAAGAAGAAGGAGAAGAAGAGCCTGGAGCGCCTGATGTAGGGCAGGAGAAGGAAGAAGATGACGATGATCAACAACAAGAAGAAGAAAACGAAGTCTGAAGAATAATGAGTCGCTAGACCGCAGGAAACGTTAGCTAAAAATAGCTCGGTTTATATATGTCTGCGCAGAAGGTGGAGAATGAACTACGACTGATGACAATCGACAAAAAGTAGAGCGCCACATCTGCCATGATTGCCAAGGCCGAGAGCTCAGAGCGACGTACCTACCACAATGTACCTTCATCATTCATCAGTGAAGTTGTAAATCTCTGCTGCTGAATCGACAAGTCTTTTCTTTGCCTAATAAAGTACGACATAGTGCGGAAGCAAATTGCTCAGTGTGGTGGCCAGCCAACAGTCTAAGCCAGTGAAACGGAGTCCCTCTCCTCCCCACTGGACTCAAATTCTTGCAAATACCTCCCACCACCTACTTACTGGGACCATTACGAATTTACGAGTTATATCCTGCAAACTAGCGAACCACCACTCTGCCTCCTCTACTTCCTTCCTTTGATTGACAGTTTCACAGCAAAGAGCGAAGAGAGACGATTTTCTCGCGGCCAACCGAAGGCGTCTTCCCAATTACGCACGGACACGAACTCTTCTCTCTCTCCCCTGCAGCAAACTTTTCTCTCTGCTCCCCGCTTTCCTCTGTCCAACCCCGCTTTCTTTTCTGCTGCCAATGTCTCTCTGGTCTGAATGAATACGGCCCAGCCTCAACATAACATCTAGTACCAAAAAAAGGTGGTAATCTTCTGCCCCTTCCGGACGACCGTTGCCCGTCTACAACGAAGAGCTCCACCGTCGTTCTTCTGGTGGCACCAGCTCAATCCCGATTGATTGGTTGCTTGGTCCTCTACACACACATACACACACACACACACACACACACTGCTGATGTGTCAGTGAAAGTGCGACAGAGCAATTTTTTTTTTGTGGAGTTGTCTATAGGAAACACGACAACACACACACATACACACGCACACACGCACACACGCACACACACACACACGCACACACACACACACACACACACACACACACACAGCGAAACTGGTAAAACACACACACACAAACACGACTTTAGATACACACAAACACACATGGACAATAAATAGACGTGGAAAAGACAAAAACATTGAACAATCACTGTCAATCTGCACAAGGAAAATAGACAAACAGATCACATTGAGGAGGAAGAGGATGAGGATCAATACAAGGAAAGAGAAAAACGGATCACATCGAGGAAGAATAGTATTAGAAGGAAGCATGTGTGTGGCACACTTCTGCGGTGTGCCGTGCGCCATGTGCAAATTGGTGATGCGGCGGATGCGTGTACACACACACACACACACACACACACACACACACACACACACAGAGAGAGAGAGAGAGAGAGAGAGAGAGAGAGAGAGAGAGAGAGAGAG